GCGCGGCCCCTTCCTGCCCCGGGGCACGGGCAGGGGCACCAGCACGGGCACGGGCAGGGGCAGCAACTTACCCCAGGAGGACACAGACATGAGCCCAAGTCACAACTTCATCATCCTTTGTTTCTCGAGTCACCTGCGAATAATCTTCCTGATACACAGGTGTAAGAAATTTGTTTGCACACAAATAATTTATATGAACAAGTCAAAGCCTAATAAGAGGTTTAAAAAATGGAAAAAGCATTAAATGAAAAATGTGGAAGTTTTCCCCACGAGCACCTTCGCTTACCAAAATAATTAAAGATCACAGCTGTGTTTTATATTAATTTATTAGAAAAAAAGATACACAGTTTAATGTGCAAATATATACAACAAACATGACAATGAAACATGAGGAAGGCGAGCCCCTTCCCTCTACCAATGACTTGCTCCTTCGTAACAGAGATGACTGTTTAATGCTTCCTCACAGATTTACAAATACAAAAAAGGTATAATGCTTCATTTGCACAAGACAAAAGTTTATTTTTATTTGAACAAAAAATATTCTGGCTTTGACATGGCAGAAGTCTGCTATTTTGGTGGCTTTTTTTCTTTTTTTTTTTAAAACCTGAGCAATTTTTGCGGAACAGGGGGACAAAGGGAAGGCATTGCCCTGTGCTTCATTCTCATCACAGCATCTGATGGTCTTTGAATTACTAAACCACTGAATCACTTCAAGAAGTGAACACAACTCCAAAATCTACATCTATGATGTAATTAGTGACACGGAAGAGAGCGGGCACTACCGTTGGCAAAAGTGGGCGGGTTGAAAACACCTGGCTTGAGTGAAATGGCTGTTGACATTTCTCAGGTAAAGTGTTCCTATCTGCCAGTAAGGAATTTAATGCTGCCTCCTGTAGTAAAGGAATTATAAATGGAAAACACAGTTTAGTCCAAAAAGCAGACGAGTTTTGGATCCTGCTGCGCCTTGCTCAAATGCAGGGTCATTGAAAGACTGCAGAATAAGGCCATATTAAACCCGAACTCCCAGTAACTCCTGTGTAGCTCCCAGTATGGACTGAAGTCCTGCTTGCTCCAGGGAAGAAGTTCAGATCAGATCTTGATTTCTTCAGGATTCTTCAGGATGGATTTCATGCAGGTGTTTGAGGCAGGCTATTTGTGTACTGAGTGGCCACAGACAACTTCAGTAGGAGAAATCCATCTCAGCTCTGATCTCCTCCCTCCCGTGCCTAGGTGCTGGCATGCCGGCTCACTCCCCGGTGTGCCAACAGCAGGAGGAATCCAGCTGATTGTCCTAACAATAACCACAGGACTGAAACCATTTAGCTTGTGTGTTTTCCACATCATCCTGCAACCCAGTTTCAGCTGACGACTCCACAGAGCGACATTTCCCATTAAGCGAGAACTATTCTGCTCGTTTAGCACTTCCTCTCCATTTTAAAGAAGAAACCCCAGCGGTGCTGGGGAAGGCACTACCAGTCCTGAGCCGGGCAATGCCAGTTCCCCCAGGAGACAAAGAGTTTCCTAAGGGACCCCTGGCCACCCCATGCTCATTTAGGTGCAGAGCCTCTCTCTGCATCAGCTCTCATGATACTTTTCAAATAAATACACACAAATGACAACATAACAGACCCACAGCAAGAAGATGACACCACCAGGAGCATGCCTGGCTGACCCCGGAGCCGGCGCTAACCAAGGGCTCTTGCCTTGGTTACATTTTCAGACACGACGCTGTCAAAAGCTGACTCAGTTTTCAGGTGCTTTCACAGTTGTTTTTTTTTTTTTCTCTTTGGCCAAGGGATCAGTATTTAAGAACAGACTTAATTAAACAGTGACTTCGTTTTGCTCCGCAACATCCCTCCTCTCCCAGCAGTAGGTTCTACGAGTGCTGGGTTGCTGCGGGTGGCAGCGTGGCAGCCCATAGGAATGTCAATCGTGTACTACAGAGAGGGCTGCTGTGGCTCCACTCACACCAAAGTCCTTAATGGTGAGGTGGCCACAGCACATCTGGCCTTTGCCGTCATCCCACCATCCTCCTCCTCTTTACTCTCTTTGGAGTGTTGTGGGATTTGACTAAAACAAACAAAAAACAAAGCCTCAAGGGAGGACTGCTCTGTTTTTAAAACTTTTTTTTGTATTTTTCTTTAATTGCTCCTGCAATTCTCCTACACAAGAATGCATGTCATGGACCATGGAGCAGAGGGTAAAAGCAGACCTTAAATGAAAAAGCTGAATAAACCCTCAAACTTAGCTTTTAGTTAAGAAGTGAAAGTTAGAAACCAGTGAGCAGTTTGATCGAGATAAGAGCTTGATGAAGATAAGAGCGAGGTGAGGGCGAGCGGGGGACAGGAAGCTGAAAGGGGGCGTTCTGATCTAAGGACAGTCCCTGCCAAGCTATATGTTTTTGTCCTTTTAGGGGAAAAAAAAAAGAAAAGAGCTTTTTCTTTTCTAAACTTCTGAATGATCCGTTAGCTAGATTTGTCAAAGTTTAAGTATTTTTACAGGCAACTGAAATAAGAAGGGAGTCGGTTGTCTCCAGTAACTTGGTGTTTTTCTACTTCAGATGATTTTCTGACAACGCGAAAAGAAACACTCCGGTCAAACAGGAGCTGATTTGTACGCTATTGCAATCCGCATCGGAGGCTGCCATGCCATCGCTCTGCAATTTGGGATCTGCAGTAGCATTTTGCAGATTTTTAGTAGCATAATTTTACCTGCCCTTTGCGGATGTTCTCTGTCCCCTACTGTAATGCACGTCTTAACTGGTCTTTTAACTCTTTCCATACTGCAGCATACACCAAAAGCTTTCAGTGACACGTATAATTTGTACACTTTGAAAGAAAGGCAATTCTTTTGAGCAGAAAGGCAAATGTCTGTAACTGTGGCCCTTCCTTGCTTACCTCTCTCTAGCACCTCTCCCCAAACCCACTTCCCCTGTAGCAATACCACACCCAGGGCACGGCTGCTTAGAGCTCTCCTAAATCAGTTTTAAGACAAAACAACTGGGTTTTAACAAACTGAATTTCAAACCAGACAGACAAAATCTGTACAGAAAAGTCTGAATTCTTTTCAAAACTTTTATGAACATTAACTTTCATTTGAAGCGTTGGTGGGGGGGAGGAGCAGAGTAGGAGGAAGCAGCAGGTCAGCTATCTGCAGTATAAGCCCCGGGTTTCCAAGCAGCTCTAGTCCAGGACACTTTATGCCCGCAGGCTGGGGTGCCCAGTTTGCCCCAGAGTCAATAAAGGCGCTGGTGAACCTTGTTGTTCTCGCAGGGTAAGCTAATAACAGCCTGGTCACCGCGGATCCCCAGCTTTGTGTTTGCTCTGAAGAAGCAGCGAGACTTGCAAGCACTTCAGCTCTCTTGAGGTAGGAGAAAAATGGTGTTTGTGATAGCTACGCTGCCTCTCCCAGCAGGGCGGGCGACTCGGCGCGTCTCTCAGCCTCCCAGAGTGCCCAAATGGCTGAAGCAGAACGGGTGCACGGAGGACAGTAAGTAGGAGCCTTGAAATGCCAGTGGTTCCTGCAATGACATTTCTACGACCTCAGTTTGGTAAATCAGCATTTTTGGGATGTCAGATTACAGTAACACAACATGGTAGCAACAGGCACGTGAAGGGAGGCCAGTGACTTGGCACTGTCAAAGAGGAAATCTTTCGTAAGGGCCCTGGCTGGCTGTCCTCGCTGATGGGATCAGACTTCTTATGGCTAGTGAGACTCACCTGCATGGGCAAAGCGATCGGAGAAGAAATGTTCAGCACAGGACAAATCCAGTGTGGGTCACTCAGTGGTACTGCATGCTTCCGTGATTCAAGTGGCTGTGTGCCACCTTAAAATGAAGATTGCAGCCAAGCTTTTAAAGTTAAATATGTTATAAACTATACACATATGTGATCCTGAGATAGTGCCTGTAACAAGTCCCAAGGCAGATAAGCTTCCTGAACGCAGAGGTCCTCACACCGCGTAAGCGCATTGTTGTTTTATTTTGGCAGGGCTGCTAGCCTCCCTCGGAGCACGCCGCACTTCCTAATGCTCTTTTTTTTGGGGGGTGGGTCTATTGAAACAATCACTTTGACGACTGCTACCAGCAATTCCAATGGCATTTCTTCGGCAGTTCAGATGAAAGCATTCTTGATCCTTTGCCAGTTCTCCCAAGACTTGCAGAAACAGGCTCACAGCTTCCCTTTCTATTTTTTGGCCAGCCAAGAGCTGTGTGCCTGCAGCCTCCTGCTAGAGGAGCAGCTGTGCTGTGCTCTGGCGAAGACACTCCTCAAGACAGGGGAGAAAACATCGGTAGGAATCAGACAAAAAGGCAACAAGTATGAGCCACAATGGAGAGAAGCTTAATACGATGACCGTCGTCCAGAGGGTCAAAGACCATGCGTTCCAGTCCCATCAGTACACAGTGCTGTTCTGAGTTTCTGACAGCATCAGCTCAGTGTCAGACCTTTTAAACCCAGGGGAAAAATATTTTCTGAAATTCTCTTTGCTTAAGCACTATATATTCAAAAAGTTCTTTTTATTGTTTCAGTATTTTAGCCCTTAGTTGATTAGTCACCAATACCTGTCAGATGCCCGCTGCCATAAAAGCACTCTGAGCATCTAAAGTATTTGTAGGAGTATCAAAAAATAGCTTTAGCAACTAGGAATTATGCAACAGAGGGAGAAGGCAGGACTAACTAGATTAATGCAACATGTAGTGGATTTGTTAACATTAAGTGTATGACTCGTCACAGGATCATGCCAGAAAACGGTACCATGTAGCTTCCTGGTAAGGGCAGTGAAAAGGGTAATGCATTACTTCAATCATCAGTGAACCACTCATTCATTCAACATACTATTTCCAGCTGAAATCAAAGGTTTCAATTAAAAATGCTTTTCCTCTACAGACCGTGAGCATCTTGCAACTCTCTCTGCCTTTGAACTCTACTGTGATAGCTGCTTCATTAACATTGTGGTTCCAGTGCAAAAAAAAATTCCTCCAGATCCCATATCTTCTTCCTTTAGACTTTCGATTGCCTCTCATCTGTCCATTCCTGCTTAGTGTTCTGTAAAGCTTGAGTCTTCTGTTCATCTACCTGGACATAGTCCACTCTCTGCTCCTCAGAGAGAAAAGGTTTCTGTGGGAGAGAGAGCAAAAAAATGATGTATCAATTTTAGGGTTGAAAAGGGATGCTAGTGAAACTTGACTTGATTTTCTGTTTTCCCTTTCCCTTGTTCCTTGATTGCTTCACTTCACCTTGAAGCTCACAGTGACATCAGCTGACAAAAGCATTGCTTTACAGCCTGCTTTAGCTATAATTATCCATCTGTCACCCTGTCACTCAGCCCAGCACAGTGAGCGAGGGAAACGTGCTGTTCTGGCTATTTCCATGCAGATACATTCTCTTCTCACCCGAGTGATCCTGCTGCAGGGATAACCTAACTGCATTTTAGCTACAAGGAGGGTTTAAATAAGAAAGCTTACGAGTCTTGAGTCTTTTGCATCCAGGAGTATTGACTGATGGGGAAAATTATACACAGGACATAAAATGGCCCAAACCATCAACAGTTCATTGCTTCGCTGTGGTACCTACCCACCACCTGTGCAGGTTACAAGCTCTATGGAACAAGGAATGTATTTTCTCAGCATTGCTAAGGAAATTGAAATGCTTTTGGTGATGCAAGAATAAAGATGCACATTTTGCTGTGTTACAAGAGATGGCACAGTTTTACCTCGTGAATTGCTGTAAACTTGTTACTGCAAAGAGATTTGGGGGAAAACTAGAAGGAAAGGGTTTGTGGAGACTCGATGAAAATGAAGAAGCATGCAGAGATCCTGGAAACACCAACAAGCTTGCCCACAAGCCCTCATGGCTGCACATCCTAGCGCAGTCTCATGCCCTCTGCTGAGCTTGTGTTAATGGCATCCCTACGAGTCACGCTAAGGACACCTTGTCATCACCCAAATCGTGCTTTTATTATATTAATCTTGAGCCTGCCAAAAACGCAGTCAGCTGGAAACACAACTGGCTTCATCGTGACACTTAGGGCACCTTGTAGAGTGTGACTCTCGGTCTTGTTTTCCTCCCAGCAGACAAAAAGATCAGAGGCTGTGGGGTTTTTCAGATGACTCATACCTTCTGTACAGGGGATGGGGAAGCAGAGTTAAAATCCAATGCTAAGTAATCAAGGTTAGATTTCCTTGTCCATGGAAAAGCACCACTGTAGGGAGATGTTGCCTGTCTGTGTTCCTGTCAGGAAAGAAGAGAAACTTTTAATGCTCTTAAAACACGATCCTAAAAGGAAGCGGGACTACAACTGTGAGGTGGGAGACTTGTCTGGCAGAAGGCAAGTGAGGAGGGTCAGCACCCACATAACTTTATATGCCAAGTATGCGTGTGATGATGAACCACAGGATAACACTGATTGACTGTGGGATGGCATGAAGAAACTGTAAGAGCCTTTTTTCTCCTGGTAATTAGGGCAAAACAAGCAAACCAGGCTGATGTTCATTCAATGTTATCAGGAAGGACTTGTGCCCAGCTTCTCAACGCAAGCGCTGGGAAGGCTCAGATTAACACGGGTGCCCTCTTAATCATCATCATTCTATGAATTTGATGAAATGGTGATAATTCTGTTCAAATCTAGTAACTGAAATTAATCTCAGGAAAATCACAGATGACCACAAACGTATGGAAGGTTTTATTTAACTAGAAAAATCAAATGGGGAGTAGTTACAATTGGAACCGCCCTCCTGAGCAGATTTTGATCTCATCTGGGACTACGGTTCATGGAGACTGTGGTCAGTTTTGCAATATATTTCTATAGCGATTGACATTGGCCTTTGGTTATGGAGCCAAATCTGTAGACATTGGCTCAGATCAAGGGATTCGAGATCTATTTCCACCTAAAATTCAAAGGAAACTGAGATTCTGGCCTTTTGCAAGATATGGCTAAAGAGTGAATGAAGAAAAGGAAGCCACAAAGCCAGATGTTCTTCTTTCATGGGATGGGAAGTGGGGTTAGTGCCACCAGCCAAAGCAGAAGCAATAAGAGACTTTAATGGGAGTTCTGTTTCTGCACAATATTTGGTGTGTTTCTTTAGGAAGTGCACTAATGGCTTTCTGTCATTTCCTAGGAGATTTTGCAGGGCACACTTCTGAAAGGTGAAAAGATTTAATTTTCCTTTGCCTTAATGAGTTCTCATGTAAATATGGCTGATCCCTGTGATCTCTTGGAACTGCTCAGCAACATTCGTGGGCGAACAGCTGAGTTCTGCAGAGCAGAAGAAGGGCTTCCCTTATCTCTCCGTAAATTGCTCCCAGTGTCTTTGGTTTAAAACCGTTTCATCATTTTTTTAAAAAACAGAAGGCAAAGGACAAACCGCCTCAACATTTTTTCTTAGAAAACAAACTTCTGCATTCTCCATCAATGTGACAGAGCAGAATAAAGCAAAGGATGGCTGTGTGAAAATGAAGATTACCATATGAATGTAACTTTCTTCCTCTTCTCCGGAAACTGAATTGGCAAATATTCTTGCTGAATTAATACCGTCTCTTTCTGGTGAGATAAAGCTCATTCGATTGCTATGAAGAAAAACACAGGAGAGGTTAAGGAAGCATCTTACAGATGCTCTGAAATGAAGCCAAAGCCTGACACAGTCCATATGGTGAATAAACTCACACTAACGCTGCAGCCTTTATGGAGAGGATGTCCAAAACCACTCCTTAGTTCTAGAAAAAGTGTGCTACATCACTGTGGGCGTGATTTTTTTTTTTTTTTTCTGGGATTCATGAAAGTTTGCCATCTCTGGTATGACAGAAAGCATAAAACATCGGAGCATTTCTCCAACAAGGGGCACAGAGACAGATATCATTCATCCGTGTAATACGTGCTGATGGGCAGGTACTTAGTTGTGTGGGTATCCACATTTTGGAGATTGATGTGAATTAATCAGCTACTGGAGGTGCATGCAGAGGAACTTGTCTGGCTTTGAACACACTGCAAACACATGCTCTCTGTGCTATGGAGATGGCTGCGACTCAGCCCTTGTACAAGGAAATCTCTTCCACTAACATAAGATTGTCATATGTATATTGTGAGTAAATTGTTGCAGGCTAGCACAATGGGTTAGTTATTAGGAAATTAGATGGCCACTCTGTGCAGCATGAACAGTATCGTTCCTTTTCCTTTATTAGTTCTGGGTATAATTTTTTTTTAGTTTTGTTAATGTAAAACATGCAAACTCCCTCTGAGCTTGTTATCCTTCGGGACGCTGCACTGTGTCAGCACTGATTAACCACAGCATTCTGGCTGGGATTCTTGGGAAGCAGGCTGCTGGGATTCCCTAACAGGCGGCACGTGGCAGGCAGTGCTGAAGGGTGTAACTGGCTTTGGATTGTATGGCTGAGAGAGGGGTCTGCAATTGACACCCCCATCTTGTGTCCCTTTTGCCCTCCAAATGACTGCCTAAGGCAGAGGAGTGGAAATACCCTGTCTGGCACTCATGCTAGCAAAAAGCCCCATTTCCCAGAGTGCCTGGAGCATGCAGAGGGGGTTGGTGGGAATTCCTGGCTTTTGCATGCACACTTCAGCACAGCTGACTCTCCTGTCAGCCTTTCCCTGTAGCATCAAGATCCCTCAGCCTGTAGGCTGCAGTCCTCCCGTGCTCAGGAATTCCCTGAAGATGAGTCTTTCGCTGCCCTTGGAGCCCAACAGTATCATCTGTTCATACTACCTGGGCCTTGGGACCAAAAGCATTTGTTTTACCCCACAACTAATTTCCAGTGACCAAAGGTCACACCATCAGACCCAGTCTGAATACCTGTGTGGCAGTGCAGAAGTTTATACCCAGGCTACAAGTCAGGCAGATCTTTATCTTACTGGTTCTCCTTTGCTATATTATTTTTCAGGAACAAAAATGGCTCTATCACTTTGAAAAAAAATAATTAAGGCACGTGAAGCTTTTAGCCATTGCAGCAGCCACACCAGAGTGCAGACCAGCTCCAGTCTTTTCAAAAAGAACCTTCAAAACAGACTGAGAGCATCGCTGCGTGATGCTGAGCACACTGGAGCTGCCCGTCGTGAAAGGGAGTCTTGCTTTTTAGGGACAGCAAAAGCCTGGGGGATGCTGGAAGGAGCCCTGGGGAATATTTGTTTGTGGACTTTGCCAGGAAACTGTTTCTTGTGGGATGTGATAAGTTATTTTTAACTCCATTCCACAATGTTAATGCTTAAAAGATTGGAACGGCAGGTTTCTTGTTGACTTACTAAGGCACAGTCCACATCCTGGTCACGGCAGCATGCTCCCGGATTGTGGAGAGGTTCCTCAAGTCCAGAGGAGGTGGCCGTGCTGCAAGTAAGATACAAAAGGCACTACATTTCCAAGAGCAGAGCTAACGAAAAGTACAGACTGTTCAGAAAAATGGAGTTTTACATTAACAGCAAAAAAATAACAGTATTTCACAGAACATAACTGATATAACCAAGACAGAAATCAGTAACAAATGACCACTTCAGTCAGTGCTGGAAAGCAAAGTCCCTCATTTACCCTAAAATAACAGAATAAATACAGTGGGCATAAGGAGAGCAAATGCCCCACTAGATTTGTGTGCTTGCCTCAAGTCTGCTCTGCATAGGCTGCCTTCAAGAGGAGAGGCCAGTTCAGCCTACAGGTCAAAACAAGTTTTGGGCTCTCTTCTGAACAAAATGGTCCTACAGGTGGAGATCAAGATCATTCCTCTCACCAGTCAATGTACGTTTTCCACTCTGTTTACAAAACCCTCTAAGAAAGGACCCGAGTTTGCTTTACTTCCTGACAATGGTCTAAATTTCTGTCCCCACTTCACAGCAGCATTTCCTGAACCAATTTCTAAGTAGCCCTATGGTTCTGCAGCCCAAGGAGCTTTAATGTAGGCTAGGTTTAGGCAATTCCTCCACTGCAAAGCTGAATTTTGTCCCCAGTATATCCTTCGGAAGTGAAACCCAGATTTTGGAGATGCCATGAAAAGCAGGAGTGGAAAACTACCATCAGTAAAAGTATCTGCAGGAAATTCCTAATTAAACCAAGACAGCTGTGCCTATCCAACAGAAGTTTAACCAACAGCCCACACATCAAGTTTGAGTATTTGAGTGTTTGGATGTTGTGTTCCTGGAAGGTCAGGGAGCTGGTGAGACAGCAGTAAACATACTTCAGAGCTGGAGGATTTAGTGTGCTGTCTCTCCAAGGCTATGTCTGGTTGTCATTTGCAGTCAGAGTGGATCTGAAGCCATGCACCATGCTAATGCAGCCATTCGGTCTTCGGCTGCAAAAGTAGGCATGGATGCTCTTTCTCTGCTCACAAATGACCCTGCAGATGCATCCTATGTTACAGCACTATAAGCCACTTACACAGCAATTCAATCCCTCTTCTAGAGTGGGAATCACTTTAAAACGTGTTAGGACACTATCAAAGGACGTCACCCGTGACCCTGCTCTCAGGCCCCTCTGGCTGCCGATTGCACTTTAGGTCTGGGCTTACATTTCCTACGAGGCTTGAGGTCTCGGTTCACCGGAGGGGGCTCCAGGTCCGAGGGAAGCTCAGGTAACGGGCTGGTGAGTTTTTCAGTGCTGACGACAGGGAAGGTAAACGTGGCCGAGCCGGGGCTCATGGGGATGTAGCCGTCGGGTGAACAGTCGGAGCCGGGCGCAGAGGGAGAGGTGCTGGGGCGCATGGGCACGTAGCTGTCCTCCGTGCTGTCCGAAGCAGTTGAGTAGAGCGGGGAGAACCGACAGGGCTTCAGAAGCAGAAGAGGAAGAGAAAGAGAAACGGGTCGATAAATGAGGCTCACGCCAAGAGGTGCTGTGAGCTGGCAACAAATTTGAGCCGAGCCTCAGGCCAGGAGAGTCCTGATGTGACCTTCCTGAGAGGCACAAGCTGGAAAGACATGAGACAAACGCATGAGTTCAGATGCACACTCCAGCTCTGGAGAAGACCACTTCTGAGATTCTCAAGTCACTGCTAGAAACTAGGACCAAACTTATTGGTGACTTAAGTAGGTTAAATTCTCCGACTTCATTGAGGCTGCACTTGCCTCTCCCAGCAGTAATTCTGTCCTATAAAATGAACGAGGCTCCTTCAGACAAAAAAACATCTGAAAGGAGAACATCTCATGAACTATATTTTTGCAAATGTGGAATCTGAAAGAGCAAACACAGAGACCTACAAGTTGCTTCTGACAGCTGAGAATAAACTCTAGAAATGCATTTCACGCAGGTTAGTGCTGGCTGAGTGGTGAGAAGGATTGATTACAAACCTTGCAAGCTTTCAAAGGGGAGAAAAATATAAGTTGTCCACCACCGGAGCTTACATACAAGCAGCAAAGGATCTCCCACACGGAAGTATCCAGCACCACGTAGAAGCCTGGCTACGTGATGTGTGATGGTGATACATATAACCGTGTCTGTCAAAGGCTGAGTCAGGAAGCTTTGGACTGACAGAGCCCTGAATCACAGGCACTTTGATAGCAGAGACTTTCCTCTGTCCTAAACAGAAGATATCCCTCAAGATCATGAAGTGATAGCCTTCTTCATACCCGTTTTTCAAGAGATAGGCAGTTTTCTCAGATGCTCTTGGTCAACAGTTTAATTCTCGAGGCTACTGTGATTCTTTTTCACAACAGACTTGGCTTCATCTGCTTTAAAAACAGGGTCATCAGTGTTGTGGCCTCCCCCTACCCCCTCTCTCAAAGGCTTCCTGTGGCCGCAAAGAAGCAGCACAGAAGTTGCCCAAAGCCCAGCGCTTCTTCCATTTCTTTATTCTTCTGAACACAGGAGAGGAATCATTGAACACCAGGACGTGAAATGATCGCTTTCTGAAGTTCGTCATGTGCCAGTGTTTTAAATTTAAGCAAGCAGAGTACTTACCAAATTCAAGCTAAGCCTCTTATCCCGACTTCTTAAGGAACTGCCTTCCATGTCTGCTGCAAGGAAAAAAAAGTGATTAAAAATGTGATAAGACAGCGCAACCTTACAGAGAAAATTCTGAAGTAAAGCATATGGCTCTAAAATAATTAGAGCTTTGTAGAGATTCCATAACTCCTAGTATTTATCCTAAATTAAGAAATCCAATGACACAAGTCCAGAACCGACTCAGTAGCATTTCAAGAGTGATTACATCCATTTTAAGTCTGATGAAACCAAGGAACATGTTCTTGTATAATCCAGCTGTAACCTATGCTTCCTGTAACACAAGTAGTTGGTTGCTGGTATGGCATGGAGAGTAAGCAACCAAGCAAAAATTTAAACCCAGCTCCTGCTCTAGTCCCACTCTGTTTTCCCCATCTGTCAAATTGGGGAAATTATACAAAAAGGGACTGTGGGGAATATTAATTCATTATTGTTCAGAAAGTTATTTAGGAGGCTCATATGTAAGGTGCCAGGGAAGCACATGTTTTTGTACAGAGGGTGCATGGGGTTAATGGTAGGAGAGAAATTCTTCTGTCACCCAAAAATGCTGCTGTGGTGCAAGTGGCTCAAACCGATGGCAAACAAACAGCCAGAGAAAAGGCCACCAGTCACAGTGTCCCCTTGTGCAGGCTGGCCTTTGTCTTGGAGTAGGTCAATTTTATTTTTGAAGCAAAAGGCAAAAAACCTGAAATTAAGCATTCAGTGCACAGAAGATCAGCAGTGGGAGGTTTTACAACTACCATCCTTTTCTGGAAAGTGATTTTTCTGTGCAGAAAATGGCTTTTCTGTGGGAATGCCTTAAAATCCTGCAACCATGTTACTCCAGTCCCTGCTCTTATGGTGGAGATGTCAATACTGTGCTGCAACTGGGGTCTTTGTGCTGGTATCAGCATAAAAGGCAAAAGTGCTAAACAAGAACAAAGCAATACTTTTAGTGTGGATATATATTCAGACAGACAGTCACTGTCCTGGGACAGGTACATTTATTTATTATTTTGGCAAAAAGATGTTCAGGCACAATGCTCTGGCAAATGCCAGGATATAGGTGCCTTACAGGTGTACGGCTCACTCCCCTTCATGGCACTGGAACCAGCATACGCTGCCTTTGCACTGGGTTAGTTACATCTGTTCAGCCTTTACAGGTTGCCAGGGACAAAAAAATGAAGTAAATAACTCGAGTGGGCTCACTCTGGGACCTGGTGAGGAAAAGCTGCTTTCTCCCTGTTTCTTTTTCTGATCTTTCTTGTTAAACATATTTTAATTCAGAGTTTAACCTTTCAAATAGTTTAAGCTGCACTTAGGGTGAGAAAAAATAGCAGCACTTATTAATTCATTGCTGCCCCCTGTCAGGCAGAGATAACCTTGCAGCACGGTAGCAGAACATGACATTTGGCCACTTAATCCTCTTAAAAACGTTTTGGCGTAAATTGGGTTGGAGGAACATTAACTGTCTCAAGTGCTCTGGCAGCATTAGAGCGGCACGCGTGCAGAAGCAAGACAGGCACCTGTCAGGGAGCGACCAAACGTAGCTGATAATTAAGAATACCAGTTCCACTGATGGGTGTTTCTCCAGAAACCTTCCAAGAATTGTTTGTGCACTGATAAGGTCTCCTTGCTTTAGCTTCTGAGCTTTAAGAGCAAGATCTAACACCCTCAAACACCAGTTGGTCATTCAAACTACTGGAGTCTAAAGGACACTTGTCCTTAAAAACCTACATTTTCTTCCTCATAAAAAATGGCACATCACTGCAAAATACTTGTTTTCCAGCCAGGTATTCCAGCTGCCTCCCTCTGTTCTGTGGCTCCACAAAATAAACCTTTCTCATACTGCATACGCTGGTTTTTGACACCTTGATGTTCTGAGGTTTTGACTGTTACTTTTGTTTGCAGTGATGGTGTTTCAAAAACAAGTGACGAGTCCCCTCAGCCCAGAGCAGAGCCGCTTTGCAGCAGAGCCCCGCTCTGCAGTGGGTTTTCAGGCTGCCTTGGCTGAAGTGCAAGGACAGAGTGGGATTTACTCAAGGACACACAGTCCCTGGTTCAGCTGGGATTACATTCCATCCCCAGTGTCTCCCGGGTTTCCTGTTCTTTACTCTAAGCTGCAAAAAACCATGCTGCTGTTATGGAAAGGACTGGATGTAGCGAAGCAGCACAGCTACAAAGGTGTTTCCCATGTGCAAGCCCACATTTTGATCTGCATAAATAGAGAGTTTGGCATTGCCTGATTCAATGGCTGGCTTTTCATTTTTGTTTTTCTGCTGCTTTCTTTCTTGGAGAGGGAGGGGGCATGGAAAACTAGAAAGTCATGAGGCACCCTGAAGAGATGACAGCCAAATTGCTGACCACGTGTATACACTGAGGGGCTTTTACAGAGCGGGAGCTGAATGTGAGGGGCAGGTCTGAATCCTGCTCACTAATTTGAAACAAGCATCTCAGGTTGCTTTGAGTTCTGTATGATTTCACAGGAAGGAGGACAGGGTGGCACAACTGGAGGTGGGCACCCGCTCTGCACTCGTGGGCAGCTCCATCCCTCACACCGGTCTTGCTTCGTTAGCTCTCAGAAATGCACTCACCTTTCCAGTTCCTCACGTTATCTAAGCTGGACAAGGAGATCCTCCTGGGCACCAGAGCGACCTGAGCCCGGCAGATCCCTGCGTGCCCGTTCTGGAGGGCCCCACCGCCCACCTCATCCCCTCTTCTGTCTGAGAAGTGGGTTGGCTTGGGTGGCCGCGGCGGGGGGGTGTTGGATAGGACGTCCAGCTGGGTTACACCATAGGGCAGCGCGTTTTGGCTCTTGTCAATCTGAAAGGTTGGTGTCAGCGGCGTCCCCAGCAGCGGAGAAGAGGAGGAAAAGTCACTGGGTGACCCACTAATGTCTATGTTCCTGGACACGGTGCTGGGATTTGCCAGTGGAGCCCCGTCCTGGTGCACAGTGCCAGTGCTGGATGGCTGTACAAGGTACAAGGAGGGCTGGGACTGCAAGGAGTCGACAAAAACATCATCTGATGAGGTTTGCTCCAGAGATCTGTCCGAATTTGACCAGCTGTCACACCTGCACAGAGACAGAGGTCAGGACCTGCATTTTCCTTTTCTCCTGGTTGCAACTGGGCAAGTGCACAGAAAAAAAACCCAACCCCACAGTTGGGGACAAAATCAATCCCTTCCCTATGGCTGTGGAATGTCCCCCCTGAGCTCGGCTGAGAGATGGGGCACTTTGTGGAGCACCTTGGGTTCTTTGCAGGCAGAAAGGGCATCTAGAGGGAGACCATATGCGAGGTCCCCAGCCACCCACCCTGGAAAGGGACAGGACCAACATACAACACTCGACTGCTAATCTGTGCTATGAAAAGCCCCCTGTAAATTGGATTAGGCTGATGGTCGTGTTGTGCTCAGGAGCCTACCCTGAGTGGCAGGGCTCAAGGACCAGTTTGCTCCAGTTTCCCAGGGCATTGCTGGGCAGACAGAGGGTGGCTCCAGCCCAACACAAATGGCAGACCCCAGACCTACCTGTTGTGGCTGAGCTTGCCCGACTCGCAGTTGGAAAGGAAGAGGTAGTCAGGGAGGAAGACTGACTCTGACTCGCTGGGGGTCTCCTCTGCAGCAGATGCATCAGCAGCAGCGTGGTTGACGGAGAAGGAGGGATCTGCGATGCGGGAGGCGTGGGTGGAGGCGGCTGGCGACGGCTGTGGGGACGAGGTGGTGTGAGACAGGCTCTCCACTGAACCTGCAATGGGAACGGACAGCCCCGGCTGAGGGACGGCTCCGACTCACCCTGGCCCACTCCTCTCCTGGCCATCGCTACCTTGCTTTTGCACCAGGGATGTTTAGAGCAGCAGTGGGTCAAGGAAAAAGCTAATTTTGAGGAGAGTGGAGCCTGATTTTGCAGCTGCTCCCCCTGCCCAGGCTGGGCAAGCCAGCTGCCAAATGAAGGGGCTGCATGAGCTGCAGACCCCTCCTTGGGCTGGGGTCCCCACTCCTGCAGGGCTGTAGCATCCCTCCTGCGGACAGTAATGAGACAGCCTCTGCTGAGGAAAGTGCTCAGGCAGAGCAGTCTCTTTTATCAAGTATTTTTAGGACCTAATGCAAATAATTAATTCTTAATCTCCAACACTTCAAATTAATGGTGACAAGGAAAGGGATTGATTTCTTCCCACTTTCTAGATCTCAATGGACAAAACTAGGCTTTGCAGCTCATGGAGTAGCCAGATTTGTTGCATCTCTGAATTTGTCTGCAAACTCCTTATGCCTCTCTAGGCTGGACATCAAAGCCATGAGAGCTGTGGTGTAGCTGTTACTGCCTCGCTGGAGGCTTGTTGGCTCTACTGAGAAAAGGAACACTACTTTTCTGGAGGCCACAAGGAACAGGGGAGCCTGTGCTCTGTGACACCTTCCCTGCTCCCTCCTTCCCTGGGCACAACACTCCATTCCCCCCTGGCACAGAGATGGGTGGCGGTGGGGAGAGGAGCAGGTTCGGGCTGCAGGGCTGGTCCAGGCTGCACAGAGCTGGCCCCCTGCTCAGCTCTGAGTTGCCTTCTGACCACCAAGGCCACCCTTCACTGGCAGCACACGGCCGAGGCACTCATACCCACCTGGCCTGAGCACTGCCAGGCAGCAGAGGCAAGTGTGGTTCTGTTGCTGTCCCAGCCTCCATCCCTGCTAGAGAGCTGGGGATGCTGGGCAGGAGGGATGAAGGAGCGATGACTGAGTTGAGGCTACGCACAGCCTCTGGCCCTGCTTTGGGGTATTTCGATTCCAAAAGTAAGTCCTCAGTGCAAGCTGGACCTCCCACCATGGGCAGCTCTGGAGTGGGAAGGGCCTGGGGTGTCTTTGCAGAGCAGCTCCCCAAAGGTATCTGTCTGCTCCTGGCAGCAAGCTCAGACAGCAGCACCAGGAACACAAGCCCTCAATTAGAGAATATGACTTTTCTAATGAAGTTTCAGGTTGCTGCGCAGCAGTTCCCTCACCAGGGCTGCGCGGGGACCAGGCGGTGCTCGCTGGGTGCCCCAGCTGTCCCCGACACCTGCGGGGCCCAGCAGTGGGTAACCATCTCTGGCTGAAGCACAGACACCATCTGAGTCAAAGCTGCAAAACCCTTCTTCAAACTGAAAAACCCCGCAGCAAAAACAAACGTGAGAAAACAGCTACTGCTGATAAAACCAAACCAAGCACAAATATGCCTTCAAAGTGTAGCAGGAAGGCAGATTTCTCTAACGCCAATATCCAGATTTTGCTGGAAACGCTGGGAACCAGCCCTGACCATCTGCGTGCATGCTGCAGGCCAGATCCTGCACTGTGCGGTGAGGTCCTGAGATCCTCTGGCAGGTTCCATCTAGTCCTCAGCTCAACACAGCAATAAACCTTGGCACTGTACTGGGTTGCTGTAGTCACTTCTCAGCCTCGGGAGGTGCCAGGTATATGTGCAAGCAGGTCAGGAGGGACAGAGGGCTGCCAAGACTTGGGTGGTTAGACAGCAACATCACTAAACACAAACAAAACCCTCCAGTGACCCAGACTTCCACACCAGCCCCGTCATCTTTCTGGACTCAGTCAGAAGACTAAACCAGCTGATTTTTTCTCCCTGCACTACCCCACACCTCATCCCTTTAAATTGGAGAGGGAGCCATCTCTCTCCTTCGCACCTACCAGTACTGACTCACTGCTGCTTGCTCCTGTTAGCTTTGGAGGTCTGGTGCAGTGGTGCACCCCAGGTCAGCAAAGCACCTCATAAGCATGGGCTTAAATTTGAGCTTCAGTAAAGCGTTTGCTTAATTTTGAGCAGGTGTTTATAGCAGTGGGATTTCAGCAGTGAGCACCTGGAAGGGTTTTTACAGGGTTTCACATTTGCAGAGTAGAGCTGGAGGCTCTGCTATTTTTCCCATCTGAAAAATAACTTTTGTCTTGTTCATTGTGCTGGCTCAGACAGTAACTCTCCTTTCAAATCTTGGACTCAGAGACCTGTCTTGTAAGCTTAAGATGATCAAATAGGCACCGGGCAACTCCATAGGGATCTCAGAAAAGCATGTTCACACCACCATCTGACCACTTTTTTTTTTATAAAAAAAAAAAAGACAACACAAAAACCTAAAAACCACCACAATGCATAAGAAAGAGAAATGAATGACATTCTGGATTATTAACACACAGAACGAACAGGCCTGAACTCCATCTGGTACTCACAGGGTTTAGCCACAGATTATCCCATCAGGAAAGGCTGTGAGCTGCAGCCCACATGGCCACTGTTGTGAGCAGGAGGGAGGGATGGGGACAGCCCAGACCTGCCCTTTTCTAACCTTCAAGGGCTCAGGGCCCTGTAGCCAGCTCCTGACAGACTGTCCCTGTCCCTGCCAGCTCTGCTGGTAACCGAATCAGCATGCATTAAAGTGGTACCGCGGCAGCAGCTGGGTGGAATAAATTATGCATGGCTATTTTCCACAAGAGAAGGCAGAGAATAGGTTTGGTGCTTGCCTTCCCCTTGGCCAGAGAGACAGCGGGCAGCTTCAGCTGCCAAAATAACTGCTTTGGTGGGTACTGACTCAAAAAAATCTCTGCCCTGCATT